GGACTTAGTTCCTGTTTGAAATTCAAAATTTAACGATTTGGGCTGATGGAAGGTAATGCTCCGTCAGTGGCATGGATTTGAAAAAGAAAAAATGTTTTGCATGCTGGACTTAGTTCCAGTTTGCCTTTATTTAAAATTTAACGATTTGGTAATGTTCCGTCATCGTTAAAAGCAAAAATGTTTTGCACGCTGGACTTAGTTCCTGTTTGAAATTCAAAATTTAACGATTTGGGCTGATGGAAGGTAATGTTCCGTCAGTGGCATGGATTGAAAAAGAAAAAATGTTTTGCACGCTGGACTTAGTTCCAGTTTGTGGCCCTTTATTTAAGCTTGTTTTCTTTTAGCTTGTCCTCATCATTAATTTTTATATCCTTTTCATTAAATAAAGTTGTTATATGATTTTTGGTTAAATTAAAGTCAGCTCAAGTCATGCGACATTGTATCATTAACATATATTTAATATTGACAATTGATAACAATCCTATGATCATGATTTAATCTAGATTTTTCCTTACCAAGCAATTAATATGTATTTACTTATACACTGTGTTTTGCTAACAATATGTTGGAAAACTGAATACCTACACTGTTGGAAAATATTAGTATTTAGGTTTACTTAATATTTGGTTTTCTGGGCTTAGCCCGTTAGCATTAGGGTTTAGGGTTAGTTTATTATAAATAAAATGCTTTGTTATTCATTCGAAATCAAGTTAGTCACAATGTAATCTCTTAGGGTTTTGTAGCCGTTCCGGCATTCTCGGTTGTTTAATAATATTTCTATTATTTTGTTAGTCTCGTTCGTTGCGCACTCTGATATTCAACTTGGTATCAGAGCAGGTTTCATTCTTCGGGATTTAATCTGCTTTGGTTGGTATCTGTTTGCTTGTTTTTGTCGTGTTCGGAATGTCTAGTTGTGTTTGATTGTTGGTAGAAAAAAAAAAGCCTGGAAAAAGTTCGACCCGTCTGCATCTGTGCCTTGTTACTTCACTCGCATCAACCCCACACCATGCCGCCAGCAACTTGAAGATTGAACCCGTAGGTTACCCCCGCTGATCCGCCGCCTTTCTGATCCGCAAACCATTGCCATCACCATCGCAGAATCAGATCTACCCACCACTGCCTTGTCTTTGCATGGTACCCGCATCCCCTTTCCTGCCTAATCGTCCCGCCGCAACCCTGTCATGCCTCCAAACCTGCATCTGCTGTGCTTGTTTTGCAGGTATGAAGAAGCCCAGTTGAGAAAAAAAAAAAAAAAAAAAAGGAAGTTTGGAGTTTGTTTATTCAGCACCCGCATCGCAGCGACCATTCATCCTTCGTTGTCAGTCGGAAACCCAGAACCAGCACCGTACTTGCACCCAGTCACTGTCGCCCCCACACCCCACCAGTTTGCTGCTGTTCTGTCCAACGCCATCCTCATACCCACTGTATGCGCACCTCCATCTAATCACTGCACTCGCAGTTGTTTTGTTTGTTAGAAAACCACAGCCCAGAAAGAGTGGTTGAAAGGAAGGAGAAAAGAAAAAACAAAGAGAAGGAAGAAAGAAAAAAGAACAAAAAAATAAATAAAATTGGCTGTTTGTTTTGGCCCACACGGGCAGTTGGCTGTTTGCAACCCATTTTTTGGTTTGATGGCCCACACAAGTTGTAGGCGTTGTTTGTTTGTTGGTACAATTGAGATATGGAAATATCGTCCGTTTATTGATGGGTTCTCTCCATACTTTCAATACTAGCCAGTTTGCCAGTTTGCCAGTCAAGTCAAGTCAAGTTCGCAAGTTCACCAGTTCGCAAGTCAAGTCAAGTCAAGTTTGCATACCTGCCTGTCTGTCTGTCCGCGTTGCGGCAGAGCCTGCCTGTCTGTCTGTCCGCCTAACGGAGCCAGTCCGCATCTGCTTGTTTGCAAACCCATGTCGTATACCGCCATGAGTTTGACGGGGGTGTTGGAAAATATTAGTATTTAGGTTTACTTAATATTTGGTTTTCTGGGCTTAGCCCGTTAGCATTAGGGTTTAGGGTTAGTTTATTATAAATAAAGTGCTTTGTTATTCATTCGAAATCAAGTTAGTCACAATGTAATCTCTTAGGGTTTTGTAGCCGTTCCGGCATTCTCGGTTGTTTAATAATATTTCTATTATTTTGTTAGTCTCGTTCGTTGCGCACTCTGATATTCAACTGCATCCAAAACCCTCTTACATGCTTTTGTAATGGTCTAATCTCTCCAATCTCACATTTTGCAATCCATCTCTTACTAATTTGGCGTCAATCTCTTGAGATATAGAAACCTCTTGCTCAAACTAACTCATATGTAAGGGGATGTTTGGTATTATATTTTTATCCAATTTTTTGTTTTGAAACTAATGCGTATTAAGTAATTTAGCTACATTTATTATTTATTTAAACAAAAAATTAGACAAAATAAGATTCCAAATAGGCCCTAAGTAACCTCAGTTGAGGAGTGCACAAATCAATGCCCATCTTTTTCTAGTGAGCTATGATAAACTCAATTGGAAAGTTTGTCAGTTGATCCTCATACTTTACAAAAAGTCAAATAAATTAAAATGTTGATTAACTTGAACATGTTTACGTCGATCATATTGAACTGGAGTGTGAGTGGGAGTTAACCCGTTTGCATCAGTGCCAAGGCCGAACTTGACATTTTACCATGGCTACAAAAACTCATACGGAAACCCAACTGGTGCTCGAAATTGAATAGAAACTTATTCTTTGCTGCTCATTTCGGAAGGCCAGTTCGAAAAACCTCCTATTTTGGATTGTAAATTTTTTTACGACAAAAGATAAAGTAGAAACAAGGAAATGAAATGAAAGCAAATACATTAGTGCCTCGATCACTATATGCTAAACCAACTTCCTAGTGAAGTTTACTTCAATTTACATCAGTGCCAAGGCTGACTTTGCAGACTACAACATAATAAGTTTTCTACACTCTTCTCTATTTCCAGAAATAGAACTTGATACAGTCACGGCCACGAAAAACTTCATCGGAACCCTACCTGGTGCAAGCGACGGACTAGGAACTTTAATTGGGTACTCATTTCTGAATGTCAGTTGGAATACATCCTATTTTCTACTCAATCTCTTTGCCCACTGCATTACAACATATCAAGAGTGTTCTCTTCAGTGTAGATAAAAAAATCTTCGGCACTCTTAGTGATTTTCTATCAATACTAGATTCTATATTTGGTCATTTCTTAAATCTATACTTTACTGGACCTGTTTAGTCATTCGACACCTCACAACTTCCCAAGAAATTCGCCATCATGCCAACATGCTTGGGTGATTAACTAGTGAACATAAAGAGAGCCCCGAATTAAAACATTTCTGAAGAGAAACTCATGTTCAAAACAACTAAAACTCCAAGCATTAACCAAACACAATGATTAGGAGGATGAAAGAGAGAAGCTTGTAACAAAGAAAAATTGCTCAAAACATAAAAACACTTATTATCCTCCCCAGTTCTGAAAAGCCAGAGAAGGCGGGATAGCCAATCATCAAAAAATTTAACTTCAGACACAATCTCGCACTTCAAAAAGCTACTGTTCTTCATTTTCAATACCAAAATGCTACTCTTGTATGTATGATACGTACACGCTACTGAAAAGAGTAATTCTTAATCCAGCATGAAAGTGACCTGTTCCCTCGTAAGAGCAAGGCTAAAGAGCGAGATGTGGGTTTATTCCATCTATTAGGAGTACAACAGGTCTATCAATAACTCATAATTAACTTCAATAAGTCCTCTACATTATTGTTTTGAATGTTTCATAAAACTACCGTTACAAAACCTATTACTAACCATGCTTCAGTCAATAATCGAATTTTAGGTCCTGTGGTACTCGGACGGTCTCTTTGGTATGTTACTAACCATGCTTCATCCTGTTGTTCAAACTATATGGCTGTTATGACTTAAAATTGTTAATGCAACTAACGTCTAATATTAGATTTTTCTGCGTAGTATGGAGTCGGCTGATATTTACCTTTTTCATGAATACCCGTACATTGTCAAGGCAACTAACGTCTATTATTTGATTTTTCTGTTTCGCTTGGAGTTGGCAGATATTTACCTCATCATGAATACCCTTAAATTGTCAATGCAACTGTGTTAACTGTAATTGGATGAATGAATGCTCGCAGGTACTGGCAGGGGATGAAAACAATGTCAAAGCGCTATTTAGGCGAGGAAAAGCCAGAGCAGATCTTTGGCACTGGCTGTTGTCATTGGTTTGTCGTCTCTTCAGGCGCGAAACCCATAAAGCTGAGTGGTCAAAGATCTTAAGCTTTTGAATTGTATGATAAATGAGGAAATTCGTGTACTGAACTTGCTAATAAACAAGACTATGAATTGTGATTTGTGACCTTGAAGGTTCACTCATTTACGTCTCGGGAGGGAGTTTACATGCCAATAGTTTTCGCTGGGATCAAAGATACAGTGATAAATTTGAACTGTTCTAAACCGTGAGACAAGATCCTCATTTTGCTTTGTTTACTGAGTTCCAATTGTGAATTTTCCGTCACCACCATAATCTTTTAGATGGTGTGCCAAAACGAGTGCCAAAGTATATATATATATAAATATACAGTAGTTGTTGACAACTCTATATACATATAAAGAGTTGTTCAAATCGTATTTTATCGATATACAAATTGATGTTAGCAGGAAACTCATAAGAAGAAAATGGAGGGAGGGAAAGAGGGAGATGGAGCTTTCCATTGTATGCTTGGTGTGGCTTGTTGGAGTCGTGCAGATAGCTGCAATACTTCAACAAATAAATTGACAATGTTTGTTCTCTGCTATGTTCTTTTGCAAGTTGATCCTACAAACAAAAGCACAGACAAAACTTGAAAAACGATGCCAATCAATGAAATCTAAATCATTCCCGCCCTGAATCTTTTATAAAACAAGGCACCATGAAAAATTTCAATAGTAAATGTTTTTTCATATAAAAAACGAAACAATTAAATAAACGTTTTACTTCGAAATTTCAACATAGTCTTACATCAGACATTAACACCTTACTTTGAAATTTCTCCCCAAAAATGTGACAACAGTGTTCGAAGACAATCGTTGTAGAGTAGACATTAGAGACACATTACAAAAGCTTACTTTCCATGAGCTTTGCATGTAACTTACAAATTCCCAATTACATGTGTCACTTGTATGTCCTCAACTTTCATTGCTTAATCAAGTTTACGACTGAAACATCAACCTAATCCGAAAAAAAAAAAAAAAAAAAAAAAAAACGCGACTCTCTCTCTCTCTATGGCTTTCTTACTACACAAAAATATACCTAATTAGAGCATGCCACACATCAACACATCCAATCTTCCACTTTACAAATCACAGCTGCTGGCTTTACTCGTTCTGCTTCGTCACAAATTATATACACAGAAATTAGAAATTGAAATATTGACACTTTTCATCGAACATCTAGTGTGCCACGTTCTCATGTGCTTTCTTGTAAGATTAATTGAAGAAGAATACTTTAGTTTTTGAACAAAATTAACTTCAAGATGAGTAATTTAACAGAAATGAAGCAAAAAGAAACCCAAAAATCTTTAATTGAACAACAATACTTAGTCTTTGAACAAATAACTTCAGGATGAGTTTAACAGAACAGAAGCAAAAAGAAACCCAGAAATTGGAAAAATTTGTCCTTCTGAACTGGAATTACCTTGAACGAATCTCACTTCCGCTGCGAGAGAGATGGAATAGCAGGTTGAGAGGAGAGACCCTTTTTTTTTTGGTCAACTTGATGAGGTTTTCTGGTCGTAGTGTTTTCATCGAGAGAGGTGGAATTAAGAATTCGGGAGCGCTGTAAAATTCTTTTCCCTTCTAATATCTTTTCCTTTATCTCCTGTTTTATTTAGACAATTATGATTAAATTATATTAACATTTTTATATAACTTTTTATATAAAGAAAAAGATAAAAAGTAAAGTGTAAGATCATCTCCAACTCTGGGTTAAAAGCCAAATTACCCCAAACACTCTCCAACTCATGCTAAAATTTTAGGCTAAATGCCAAATGCTATTTTTGGGTCAAATACCCCCCAGCTTTCCCCCGGGCTAAATGTGAAATGTTTATCGGAATTTAAATTTTTTTATATTAAAATGTTCATAAAATTAATTTATAATAATCTACATATTTATTTTTAAAAAAAAATTGATTTAAGAAAAAAATTTAGGCTAATTTCATTCTTTAATAATTCCGGGCTAAAATTTTAGGGTAGAAGGGTTGGAGCAGAAAAGATATTTCTGGGCTAAAAGTTAAATTTTCCGGGCTAAAAAATTTGGCTTTTAGCTCAAGGGTTGGAGATGGTCTAAGAGAAGTGAAAGAAGATGATGGTAATATGAGGAAAGATAATCATATTATAGGTAGAGTGAAATAGGCGCAAAACAGTCATTTCATTGTAGGTGAACAGTGATTTTAAACCTATTTCAGTACCGGTATAATTTAAGGGTCCACGTGGATGGAGTGATTAAAACATAATGATTTGAATTTTTACTATATGATTGAGTTAATTAAGAAAACCTATAAAACTAGTAGTGAGCTCGTCGAAATGTTTTAATTCTTATTCTCTATAAATACAACATGTCCTGTTTTAGTAAACGCGTGAAACTGAAGAATCGAAATTATTCTTGTTCCTATTATGTATAAATAAGCATGCCATATTATATGAAATCATAAAAATATTGGATCGAGGTTTGAAATCTCCTCATTCCAAATGGACCCCAATGCATGACCAAGGAAGAAAATATCGGTAATATCGGAAATATCGGTAGTCCGAAAACACGGAAATATCGACGAAAATATCGGTAAAATATCGATATCGATAAAAATTACATGGAAACCACGGAAATTGTAAGAAAAACTTGGAAATTTTTATTGAAACTTTGTAGGATGTTTATTTAGTTAATTATCTATTAGTTTATCACAAAAAATTGGAAGGAAATGGATTGCATGAGGGATTTAACATTATCAAGTTGATTATATAGCGATCTGACAAATATTGTGAGTGTAGAAAATATGTAGTAATTAATGAAAGAAGTCTAAACACACATAATCATTTATATATAATGAATTAGTACAATATTTTACACTTTAGTACCACAGAGAGTTCCTATGAGGTTCAAATTTTTCACTATCTTCATCATCTCTATGTGTAGAATGAGTGTATTATGAAAAGTAGTTATCAAATGATAAATCCTCAAAATAGTTTTGCATGTAATTGTTAATATGCCACCCATATGGATCCGAGATTTGTTGAGGTTGTCCATAAGAAAAATCATTTGAAGATTGAGGCTGGGATTGTTTCCATGAGTCGCTCGATTCTATCCCAACAGGAATGGGATATGAAGGGTAGGGAAATGGTTGGTTATGAGTATAACCATAGTTACTACTTCCCAATCCAACAGAGTCTGAAGTTCTAGATAACGAGTCATCTTCTTGACTTGACAAAAATCCCCTTGCCTCTTTCTCTGCGAGTATAGTCCTTCCCTATGGCACCAATTCCTGGTCCTGCCCGCCTACTGCCATGGTCATCATCCTGTGTTGCATGCGTGAAGTTTGCCTCACCAGTGAAGGGGCTCATATATCCGGGAGGTGGTGGTCCATAATAGTTTCCATATCCACCACCACTACCTCCAACTCCACTACCTCCAGCTCCACTATGTCCTTCATCATTCCCACCTCCGGTGGTAGGTGAGTCTCCTGATCTTGTACTAGAGCTATCATTAGTATGAGCACGATGTTGTGGTTGTGTAGGATTGGAAGAAGGTGGAATTCCAGTGTTTCTTGGTCTTGGGTGCAAAAATTCTATTATAAACTTATAGTGAAATATGTTTATACTCACTAGGAGACATATTTGTTCGAGCAGCAACTGATGTTGGTTCTCCAAATGTTCTTCTTGCATTTTTAAACCATGTTAGCTGAATACAATAAATTGTGTTAGTTTAATCCAACAAAGTAATTATTATAAATTAAGTAATTGTGTACCTCATTTCCAAATTGGCCAACTGCTGGTGATGCAGGGTCTAATTTAGAGTATACATTATGTACAACACGTATAAGGTCACCATCATCTCCAACACCGGGTCTGTATTGGTATCGGGGATTCAAATAATATGCTGTTCAAAGAAACACATACTCTAATAAAGAGAAATAATACTTATGCAACTAAAGAAATGAATTGCAAATTATGACATAATTTATACCTGCTGCATGCAAATCGTGGTATAATGTTTTATACTATCGGTCTTCAATTATTTTTATGACCCACCTTGCACCATGTTTTCTTTCCAATTCATCCTTCACTACACGCATCAACTCATATACTGCCCCCATAGTAGGATACACTTCTGTGTCAACGATCCGTAAAACTTTGTAAAGAGGTTCAAACACTTGACACACATGTTCTGTTTGAGTCCAAAAAGCATGATCAAGCACTATACTTTCCACCATACGACCTGTATTTGAGCGGCTGAAATTGTGGTTGGCCCAATCGTCACTAGTGAATAGTTGCTTCAACCCTGCTTTCTTCTTGAGTAGGTTGTTTAATGCAATATAGTTGGTGGCGAATCGAGTGGTAGCTGGACGAATAATTTCTCCTCTTGCAAAATTCACGCATCTTTGCCAACAACCAACCGTGATTGTAAATATAATTTGTGATCGTTCTAGCTCTTTTGACCACAGTAGCAACATTCTCTCTCTTCCCCATTGCCTCAAACATGAGATCAATACAATGTGCTGCACATGATGTCCAAAACACATTATGATGCTTCATTAACTTTTTTCCAGCTTTGACAAATGCAGAACCGTTGTCGGTCACGACTTGGACAACATTATGCTCTCCCACCTCCATGATTACATCCCTCAATAATTTGTAAATATACTTGTAATTCTTTATATGGTCTGAAGCATCAACAGACTTAAAAAAAATTGTCTTTCCCTTGGAGTATATACCATGAAGTTGATGATAGATAATCTGGTCGGGCCGGTCCATCCGTCACACATGATTGTGCAACCATTAGTTTCCCACTTTGACCTCAACTTGTTAACATACTCGCCAATGTCTTTATACTCCATATCCAAATATTTGTTTCTTATCTCATAGGGAGTGGGAGGTTGTACTCCAACACCGGCCTGTTGACATCCCACTACCATATTTTTGAAATGATGTGATGATGCCTTCGCAGCAGGGACATTTTCATAGATAAAGAACTTGCTAATTAGACGCCCCATTCCCTCCTTCACATTACCTCCCTTGAAATAACTCCAAACACTCTTTTGACGTGCGTTGGATGACTTATATATAAACTTGGGGCTATTGGTGGTGTTGGTTGTGATTCTCTAAGACTGCCTCCCCGTCTCATTTGTGCACCACCACTTGTCCCGGAACCTTGTCCCCTATTAGGAATTTTATGAAGGTGTTCTCTTTCCCATGCTGACTGTTTGGAGGCACGTAATGCTTGTTTCAAACTGCGTCGTTCTTCAGGTCCCATGTCATCATTACATTCGTCCTCATCGTCATCATCATCACTGTCAACCGCTTGGCCATAGACTTCTCCCCGTAGCCCAGCTCGAATATTTTCCATTCCCTGTGTTATCTTTTCCTTCTGCTGTTTTTTTTTTTTAATAATGTGCTGATGAATGCCTTCACTTCTGGGGGGACATTATCGCATCGTTGGACATTTTTTGATGGATCTAATCCACTAAGATGATACTTCAGTCGTGTCACTCCGCCACTCTTCATTACCCGACCACAATATTTGCTAATTGTGCCATGTTTGTTTCCGTCTATTGGGTCTTCATATTCCCAAGCTGGATCACGTTTACTGGACATCTTAAACGTACCTATATCTATTTTTCATGAAAATTAGACAATTATTTTTTGATAAAAATAAGAGAACCTAAATAATAAAGTTATTCTACAGAAGAATTAAATACAAAGTCAAGAAAATGATTGTAAAAATTTAAGTAATTATACAAATAATATGGAATAATAAAACCTAATATTAATGAATAATAATCCAATTTGATAATAATTCAATTTAATGAATAATAATCCAATTTGATAAAAAAAATCCTAATATAAAACATGGTGATGAATAATAATCCAATTTGATAATAATCCGATTTAATGAATAATCCACCAATTTGATAATAATCCAATTTAATGAATAATCCACCAATTTGATAAAAAAAATCCTAATATAAAACATGGTGATGAATAATAATCCAATTTGATAATAATAATCCAATTTGATAATAATCCAATTTGATAATAATCCAATTTAATGAATAATCCACCAATTTGATAAAAAAATAATCCTAATATAAAACATGGTGATGAATAATAATCCAATTTAATGAATAATAATCTAATTTGATAATAATCCAATTTAATGAATAATCCACCAATTTGATAAAAAAAAATCCTAATATAAAACATGGTGATGAATAATAATCCAATTTGATAATAATCCAATTTAATGAATAATCCACCAATTTGATAAAAAAAAATAATCCTAATATAAAACATGGTGATGAATAATAATCCAATTTGATAATAATCCAATTTAATGAACAATCCACCAATTTGATAAAAAAAAAAATCCTAATATAAAACATGGTGATGAATAATAATCCAATTTGATAATAATAATCCAATTTGATAATAATCCAATTTAATGAATAATCCACCAATTTGATAAAAAAATAATCCTAATATAAAACATGGTGATGAATAATAATCCAATTTGATAATAATAATCCAATTTGATAATAATCCAATTTAATGAATAATCCACCAATTTGATAAAAAAATTTCCTAATATAAAAGAATAATAATC